CCTTTAGGCAACTCTGTGGGGCATTTTCCTAATTAATGACCGATGTGGAAGGGCCCAGTGCCAACCCTGGACAGGTGGTTCTGGACGGTATAGAAATCAAGCTGGCCAAGCCATGAGGAGAAAGCCAGTAAGCAACACTCCTCCATCCACGGCTTCTGCATCAGCTCCTGCCTCCAGGTTCCTGCCCAGAGTCCCTGTCCTCTCTTCCCTCAGAGATGGTCTTACAAGTAAGGTGTAATAAACCCTTTCCTCCTCGAGTTACTTTTGGTCATGGGGTTGTGGAAACCCTAGCTAATACAGTGCCCTCAACTGGTGACCAAACACATGAGCCCACCGGGGTGGGGAGCACATCTCATTTTAACCACCACGGTGTCCTGCAGTTGTCACCTATGGCCCTTGTGGCGGTGAGAATGACCTTTTGCAATTTTAATGGAGGGGAGACAGACACCTCTGCATCTTTCTTCAGAGGTTTCCAGAAACAACTAGGGCATGAGAGCTCTGAACTAAATCAGCACCACCGATGGGTTTAGAATCTGAATGGACCTTGGGAGGTGGTGGAACTTGGAAAAGGTGTGGCCCGTTTTGAGCAACTGAGTCGCTGGGGAGTGTACCTTAAAGATGGTAAAATTTTGTTATTGGCTTCTGGTTTCTTTCTCTGGTTTGTGGCTGCTAGGAGATGACCAGCTTTGCTCCCGCATAGCATCCTTAATGGTGAACCTTCTCTGTCTTACCACAGGCCCCCAAACAAACATCAGCAGCATGAACTGAAATCTCTGACACTGTGGCTCAGGATAAATCTTTCACGTCTTGTCCCTCTCAAGTGTCTGTCGTGGTGATGACATCTCTGACATATTTTTATAAATCTACACTGAAATTCAGTTTTCTGATAGCGGGAGGACAATCTGACCAACTGAAGATAGAGACTGTCTGTGGGGCGTCTCTTCATCACTCAGCCTCGTTTCAGGTTTCCTCTCTACCACATGCCCCTTCTCAAGGGGTCCTCTGTAACCAGAATCCAGGATTAGGTGCCCAGCAGCCATCTTAAGGCCAACTAGATGAACACTGCCGGCATCTAAGTCCGGTTCATCCGACTTATCACTTATCCTTCTTGATTTCAGATACCGAAGCACACATGAGTTTCTTTATAGAGAGTGACCTAGGGTTGGGGAGTTGGCTCAGTGGGTAACAGTGCTTGCCTCACAAACCTATATTGGGTCTCAGGCAGAGACCGGAGAATCTCCAGAAGTTTGAGGCTTATTAGCCTGGCTTACATTACTGTAAAGGAAACCTGTCTCAAGGAGGGAAGCAAGAAACCAAATAATAAAGATTGTCCTCTAACCTCTCTCTGTATATGCACCATGGCACACATATGCCTGTACACACACACACACACACACACACACACACACACACACACACACACACTTAAATTTTTTAAAATAAGAGCCAGTAGCAGAGGAAATGAACCCATGTGCTGACAGATGCTGGGTGTTTTCTGTACTTCACATACCCTGCATTCAGCAGTGAAGGCTCCCAGCTCACAGGAAGTGGTTAAGGAAGAGTAGAGAGAGAAATAATGGCAATTACTCAGCATCTCAAGCAGGGTCAATAGAAGCTTATGGAACTTTCCTTGTCTACTGAGGACCTAATGTTGAACCCTGACTTGGACTTATCTTTAGAGAGAACACATGAGATGTGTTAAAGGGCCCTGGGACACTCTTATGAGGGACCAATAATTTGGAGACTTGCTTCCTGATAAATAGTCTTGGTCTACCAAGAAATTCAGTGCACTTCAGCTGCCTAAATGGAGAAGGAAGAAGTAGCCAAGGGTTAGTGCTCCAGGGTAGGAGACCCTATGCTCTACAGCGTTAGTTTATGGTGCTCATGTGGTCAAAGCCTCCTGCAGTCTCTAGGTTAGTGTGCTGCTGCTCAGCTTTCTCCTAGAGTGCAGCTTTAGCTTTTGTGTTTTTCAAGTTCCTGAGTATGGGGGTTCCTTCCTTCCCATAGACTAGTTACCACACACACAGACACCTTCCATGACCAGTTTGAATCCTGACACAGTTCAGCTTGAATTTGCCGCCTTCTTGCCCATCACACTGGCTGTGGATGTGATGACATAGACACCCATATCTGTTTGGAACTGTAGGATATAAATGTCCCCAGTTGCAATGCAAGAACTGGAATATCCCAAACATTTGGACTCTACCTCACAGTTTTTTTTTCCTTTTTTTTAAAATTTATTTTATATAACAAAGTCCAATTAAATGAAAACAAACATTTATACACAATATTTGGGAATTTGGGCGTTGTTCTTTCCAAACTACTTCCTGCTGGTAAGGGGCGCTGTCATGGGGGATTCGAAGAAGATTCAGAAATCCTGGCTGTAGTCTGTAAGGCTGCTTTGTCCAGCTGTTTTGAATGTGGGATCACCTCGTACTCTGTTTCAGGCAGTCTGGCATGATCAAACCACATTAGTCTGGAAGGAATCCACATCTTTTCATTTTCTGTGGAAACAAAAATAGAAATCCTTTTCCCCAGTAACTTGTCCTTCAACTTAAATTTTGGAGTCAAAGCATTTTTTTTAAATTTATTATTTTACATGTCGATCCCAGTTCCCTGTCCCTCCCTCCCTCTCTTCTACCTCACAGTTTTTTTTAGTTACTTCTTTGATGCTATGATAAAATACTAGGCCCAAAGTATGTCATAGAAGGAAGGGTTTATTTGGGCTGGCTTGAGAGGGTTAGAGCCCATGATGGCAGAGCAGAGGCAGCAGGCATGGTGGCTGGAGCAGAAGCCGAGAGCTTCCATCTTGAACTGCAAGCACAGAGCTGATAAAGCAAACTGGAAATGGTACTCTCAAAGCCTGCCACCAAGGACATACTTCCTCTATTAGGGCTATGCCTCCTAAGGCTCTGCAAACAGCACCATCAACCAGGAACCAACTGTGCAAATGCCAGAGACTAAGAGGAGACATTTGTCTTAAAACACCACATGCCATGTCTCTGTCTCTGGGGTTGAAGCGGTGTCTGGTGCTAAGAAACTTTTTAACCCACTGGTTAGAACTAGACAAACATTTCTGCCTCTAACTGGGCTCCTCTTTTTGGTCTGTGTCCCCCTCCATGACCCCAGAAATGAACGGACTCTCCCCCATTTTGGAAGAGTTCCATGGAGTCAGCCCTTCTACCACTCTGTGTATTTCTGGAGTACAAATCCAAGGACAAGGAGAGCCTTTTGTCTTTCTCACGGCTGGTTAAATGAGAATGATTGAAATCACCTCCAACTCAGCCAGGTCTCTGGCTTTCTCAAAGCCTTAGAGGACAAAGGAATCTTATACAGGTAATAATAGGTCTAAGTACTGTGCTTGTCAGCTATTCATCACTGTGATAAAACACTGAGTGAACCAACTTAATGGAGAAAAGACTCAGTTTTGGATCACATACCCCTCGGTGGCAGAGAAAATAAGGGGAGGAGGAGGATAGCAAGGGAGAGGAGGGAGAAGAGAGAAGGAACCCAACTGAATGCAAGAGTACGAGAGATGGTTTTTCTTAAGCATAGTTTTAACTCTGAAAGATGACAGTTTCTGGAGATCAGTAATATAAGCTTAGCTGTTGTAAAGGCCGAGGGTTCTAGAGAGATGGCTTAGTAGGTAAGGGCACTGGTTTCTCTCACAGATGATGCTGGTTACTTCCCAGTACCCACATGGCAGCTCACAGCCATCTATAACTCCAGTTCCAGGGGATTCAATGCCTGTTTCTGACTTCTGAGGGCTCATACACATATATGCTGCACATAGATGCATGCAGGAACACACACATACACATAGTAATAAAATAAGAGGCTAAGAAGGCAATCTTTATGTGTTCTTTTAGCCATAATTGCAATACATGAAAACATCCTACAGATAAAAGCCCCACCTCTGAATTCAAGTGAGGGGAAGATGAAGGTGAGATCTTGGTAGATAAAATCGAGGTAATGATAGAGCTGCAAGTTTGTAATTTTAAGGCACGGTTGAACAGAGGTGGAGGCTGGCGTTGTGCTACGGAGCAATGTGTTTTCTGTAGTGTGCAGGTATTATACTCAGCCCAGCACTGAGACAACACTTGAGTCCTCAGGAAGAAGTCTGGCTGAGGGTTCCTGTCCTCTGGTCCCTCTGATTGGAGAGGACTGCAGCAGATGTAAATAGGCTGTGTTCTGTCTCCTTGGATGAGACAACACAGAAAGTATCAGAAATGCCACTGTAACAAGAACAAAGTAGGGAAGGGGTTTGTTCTGGCTCTCAGTCCATCACGGTGGGGAGTCTCAGTAGCAGGAGAGTGAGGTCAGTTGCATCTGCAGTCGGGAATAAGAGGCAGATGAGCGCTGGTGCTCAGCACACTTCCCCTGTTTTACTCAGTTCAGGGCCCTAGGCCATGGGATGATGAAATCTAGGAAGCCTTCATCCATCCACTGAACACCGTTTCTGGGCCCCATGTCTTTGTATATACATGTCCCAGGGGACCTTCTCTCTTACCTCATTTCCCCCAAATAGTCATCCCATCAGCAAAGGAAAGAAGGCAAGGGGTGGGCCACACCAACAGCAAGTGGGCAGCGTGACTGCTTTGGACACAGTATAGAGTCTTGCAATTCAGATCAGGGGGCCTCACTCTGGGATTCTGTGTTCACAAGGCTTGAGCCAATCTATACTTTGCAGCCATTTCCTGTTGTGAAATATTAAATTAAGGTCAAGGTGGTATTGTTAAGGGACACCTTATCTGTAAATCTGCTGTGCTCTCTCTGATTATATCGGCTCTGGCCTCTGGTTATCTGTGGCACCAGGTGAGCAGGGTAAGGAGAGCCTCTTGCTTCTCAGGTGATCCTGGAGCTCCAGGGTTTTGACAACTGTGCCCGCACCGCCCACACCTGCCAGCCTGCCAGCTGCCCCTTGAACCTGCCTGGTCCATGAGTCCTCCCCTTTACTGGGACTGACACACCCTTGTCTGCCTGCCTGAAGGGCGGTCCCATCTACAGGCAGGCCAGTCAGGTAGGCCAACCTCCACAGGTCCCTGGGAATTGCAGCCAAGGGCTAGATAGGAAGAGAGCAGTTCCTGGAAGATGCGTCCAGTTGCTGCAGGTGAGTGCCAGTGCAGCTAGACTTGCTTCTGCCTAGGGGGAAGTGGTGGTACCCCTACCCCTTCCTAACTGCCAAGCTGAGGCAGAAGGGTGAAGGCTCTGGCTAGGGCCACCTCTTGTGAGAACTGGGATCCTGGTGGGAACAAAAATTCCAGAGGGGCACCTTGTGGGAGCTGAGATTTCTGAGTGGGCTCCCTCTATCATTTTCTTATTACCCAGCAGGTGGAGCTTCTGTGTACCCTTCTACCTACAGAGTAGATCCAGAGAGTACAAGCAGGGGGTGACCAAAGTGGCTTAGTCCATGCCGATCAGCCTACCTGAGTAGGAGGCCCTAGGATCTGAACAGCTGGGAAGGGGTTATCTGCTGGCTGGGGTTAGGAAAGGCCACCCTTCAAGCTGACTGGCTTAGGAATCTCTACAGAAGGTGTAGGGACAGTGAAGCTTTTGGGGCTTTACTTGGGGGGAGCGAGAAGTGGGAACCCTGATTACAGACGATCTTGACCGCACCCAGGAACACCCTCTCACAAGCCAGTTTCTACTTTTCTAAGAATATTTGACACTGGTTAAGAGACTTGGGAAGATGGTAAAGTGGGGAGAAAGCTCACTGTTATCCTCGGTCCTCCAGTCTCTGAGAGCCTGCCTTTTCTGTCATTTCTCTTCCCAGTCACACTGTGACGAAGCCAGCTCCCCCAGGGAAAGTACCAGGGCAGTCACAGCAGGTGCTGTGCAAACATGGCAGGCTAAGAAAGGGGAAATGCCCTTGATTTGCCTATCAGGCTTTTCTTTTCTGCTTCTGCATCAGTGACTCGGGTGCCCTGTAGGGCAGGTGGGTGGAGGTACATGTTCATGTGTGCATCTATATGAACAAGGTCAGCGCGTAGCTGTGCTGTCGCAGCGGCACGGACCTCTTACTGTGCGTGATTGGTCTCTGCGATCTTCACGCAATGACGTTTCTCAGAACACACCCCTGACCCTGACAAGTGAATGTGAATGGAGCACATCCCTGTGCATGGCATTGGCTTTTATCCTAGTTCCTTTGGAAGGATGGTTTCATTATCGCCGCACGGCATGATCAGAATATCATTTTCCAGGCTTCGTATAGGGGGAAGCTGGAAGTTACCAATCGCTGGAAGTTACCAATCGCTTTTTCTGACAGCCACTTTCAATACAGCTCTTGTGACTCACACAAGAGCTATGTGGTCCTTTTATCCGAAGAGTTCAGAAAATTTCTCGGTTTTACTCCTCCAGCAAGTGTGATCGTGAGAGGAGGGGCTGTGTTACTTCTGCCTTGGTGAGCTAAGGATTTGGCAGTGTTGTTGTGGTAGTCCTTGTCATTGGCTTATCTGTCTAGACTCAGATTTCTGAGTTCTCGCTGGGCCTGGGAAGCTGCCATGATACTGTCTCTGTGGGGCCTGCTGGTGGGTGTCTTCTCCCTCCGCCGGGGTGTTGGCAAGATGAGTCGTGGCAGCACTTTTTACCTAAAAGCCTCAATAGACAGGACAGGTCAGGCAGTGGGCACCAAAGCCAGCTGAACCCTGAAAGATGATTCTTCAGCTCCAGCCTTGTTGGCTTTCCAGGTCTAAAGGGCATGGGTGTGGCCAGGGATTTAAATGCATGTTGGCAGGGGACAAACAGCTTCCTTGTCCTCACTCAGATTGGAGGAAACCCATTAGCAAGACCAATGGTCTCCCTCTCCAAGTGTGTCTGTGTCATATCTCCAATTCTTGAAAAGACACAGTCATGTTGGGTCAGGGTCCTTCCAGATGACTTCATTTTAACTGACCTGTCTCTTTAAAGACTCTGTCTTCACAACCTGTGGTCCTGACAGACAGAACTTCGGCACGGAAATATGGGTGCTTCTCAGCCTCACTGTGCTTGGGACACCCACCGAAGTTCAGTTCTTGGGGTAGTAGTGATTGACAGCCCCTGAGAATAAAAGAGAAGTGAGCCCTAAGAACAGCCAGTGCTGGTCTTATTATTTTCTTGCTGACTCTTCAGTTAAATAGCCAGGCTTCAGAGGCACTGACCATCTAATAGTAAGGATGAGGCTGGAACACATTTGTGCACGCACATACATGTACACACACACAAAGGTACGTATACTTGCACAGAACACACATCTCTGAGAACAAAGTACTTTGATACCAACTATACAATCCTGGTGCCAAGGGCTGGCACCAGGCTTTCTGTGTAGCAAATGAACCAAAGGTGCTTACCTAAGTTGATAGCTTTATCACTATTTGAGGAAAGGCTGGGTCCTGGTTACAGAACCACAGACAAGCTCCTGGACTCTGTTCTTTCTCCTCTTGCTTCGGAAGCTGCTAAATCTCTTCCCATAAGGGCTGTCACCAACCCAGGGTGCTGGGAACTATTTCCCCAGAGTCTGTGGGCTCCTACCTTCCAGAAATGTCTTCCCTGTGTGTGCTGCTTTTAGTGCTGGGATTTAACAGACTACCTGTGTCCTGTGTCCCAGGAACTGCTGCAGGTATCTCATGCATGGAGAGGCTGTGCCATGGCTTCCTGGCGTTATGGTAGGGGCTGGATTGTGCCCAAACTCCTGTGCTGAGGTTCTATTCATCACGACCTAAGAATGGGACTGGGTTTGAAGAGTGTCCAAATGAGTTCAAATGAGCCCATAGGATAGAGCCCAATCTAACAGGACTATGTCTTTTCAAGAAAAGGTGATCGGGACACAGACACACTCAGAGTGATGACCACTGAGGACACAGGGGGAAGATACCATCTACAAGCTAAGGAGAGGAGGGTCAGGAGGAGCTGGCCCTGTGATACCATGACCTTGGCTCTCAACTCCCACTATCATGAGGAAGTGTTTCCATTAACACTCTTTTTATTTTGTCATGGCAACCGAAGATATGAGTATCTACTGGTGTAGGTCTTTGTATCTAACCCCCCCCCAGTTGGGTTCATTTCCATCCTTTGAGGATAGAATTGTCCCCCAAATGCTCCAAGCTCTTTCTGCCTTCCCTAGAAATGGTCTTGGCTCTGAATTTTGCCCTCTTCCAGTCAGTCTCATGTCACTGCAAGAAGCCAGACTGTCTCCATCCTGGAAGCCAGAGGCTGTGCCTTCTACCCAAAGCGCAGAGTCCTGATGAGAGTCAAAGCTGGAGCTTGTTGCTTGCCCACAGGTGGTCCTGTCAATGAAGTAAATGAAATAGAGTCTCTCCTGGGAGGGTGCCCAGCATTCTGTACATTCTCCATTTTCTTCCTCATTGGAACCACACATTTATCCTGCTAATTTGGTCTTTATCTCTTCCAAAAGTAACACATCAGCTCCTGCTCAAAGTCTCTCATGTGCAGAATCTGGAAGACCCTCTAAATACCATTTCATTTGAAGATTTTCCTCGTACAAGCCAGTAGGATGAAATTGTCCAGACATTACCAGTATGCAAAGGACTGTCCCTGCCTTTGTGCATGTTCTGCAGCTGTTCTAGCACATAATCCACCCAAGAGAAGTTTCTAGAACATGTTGCCAACAGTTACAGAGTAGATAGAGTTCACCTTGTGGAAGGGCCTAGCAGCAGAGACATCCCAGCTGGTAGTCAGGAAGCAAGAGAGACAGACAAACAGACACAAAGAGAGATAGACAGGGAGATAGATAGATAGATAGATAGATAGATAGATAGATAGATAGATAGATAGATAGATGATAGATAGATAGATAGAGGAAGTGAGGTAAACTATAAAATTTCAAAGCCTACCCCTAGTGACTTGCTTCCTTCAGCAAAGTTCCCCTCTGAAGTTTGCATAACCTTCCCAAACTTCCCACTAGTGGGGACCCAGTGTAATTTCAGGTAACACACACGTGAGACATTTCTCACTCAGATCATAACATGTCTCCTCTTCATGGGCCTCAGAGCTGTCGTAACTACTGTCCTCTCCTGTAGAACACACAGTGAGAGAACGTCTCTTTGGGGTTCTGAGCAGGGAGAGAGTAGTCTGGCAAGTCTGGAATACTTCTGTACTTATGACCAACAAGCTACAGATTGTGGTCTCTTCCAGCTTCCACAATCCTTCCCTGCCTAGCTCTGTCTTTCCCTCACTGTTCCTCTCTCCATCTCCACCTTTCTCTTTCCATTTCCATGGCTGCAGGCTTGTGGTACGGAGGAGGGTCATGTCTTCCTAAGATATTACAACCCTATATCTATCTGTAGCTCCTCATGGCCAGGTGATTTTGATAGCAATCCAGCATATAAAGGTCCATGGGGGACCTCCTACCATCAGGATACTTGGGTACTTCTGTAGATCCCTCTGAGGCTATAAGACAGGTAAGGAAATTTCAGTGTGAGAGTCAGCTGCCATCTGTTGCACATGCTCGGGAGTCCCTTGATGCAACTCTTAACAGAGAAATGCCATGATTAAAAAAACAAAACAAAACAAACAAACAAACAAAAACTAAGGACACCCTCTGGAGATTCTATTCCAGCCCCAGGAGCAAGCTCCGGACTGAGCCTGTTGTGCAAAGGCCCTGAGTGGTGTCAGCTACTCAGAGCCACACTGTACTAGTCACCACACACTTTTATGGACCTATGATGAGGGTCAGACCCAGGGCAACATCAGTATAGCTGCTTGCTCTAGAAAACACTCCTTGTCATCGGTCTTTATTGCCTGTCTTCTACTGTAGAGCCCATGGGGCCCTTATGTGAGCACTTTCACCCACTCAAACTGCCTTCCCAGGAGTCTGGCACCGGATATGTGGAGGAAAGGGAATGCCCCAGGTGTCCATGGGGATAAGTTGTCACCTCTAAGAACTCCTGTTTTCTTTCTCCAGGTGTTTTCAAGGTACTAGTGTTTATTTTCTCTTCCCTGTGCGCCTGGTATTCTGGGTACCTGCTTGCGGAGCTCATACCTGACGTGCCCCTGTCCAACACCCTCTACAGTATCCGAAGCATTGGAGAGAGACCTGTCCTCAAAGGTGAGTACTGAAGAAATAGGGGTAGGGCATGGGTAGAGAGACAGCTCAGCAGTTAAAGTATTTGACAAACAAGTATGGGCCAGAGTTTGGATTCACAGAAACCATGTAAATGCTGGGTGGGTGTGGCACCTGTCTGTAATTCAAGCCTTGGGAGGCAGGGACAGGGCATCTCAAGAGCAAGCTGGCTATGGAGACTATCCATATTTCTGTCTTCGGAGTTCGACTGGGCGCCTGCCGCAATGAAGAAGGGAGAAGAGTGATAAAGGCAGAAGCTATCAGGCATTATCCTCAGCTTTCCATATTGTTGTTCTTTAGTTACAGTTACGCTAATAAAAGCTGGAGAAGGGTGGAGGAGGTACCGAGTGAGGGTCCCAAGTGAGTGAGGTCCCAAGGGCAGGGACCACATGGGAGAGCATAGCAGGTTCCATAGCAGGCGATGGTTACCAAGGCAGATAGAGCTTAAATGAGGAATTTATTTAGAAAAAGGGGTGAGGGGGAAGGGAAGAGACATAGAGGCACTGGGAACAGAAGAGGAGAGAGGAGGAGAGGGGGGAGAGAAGAAGGGCTGGTGGCCAACTGAAAGCAGGAGAGCAAAAGGGGGTGGGAATGCACTTGCTTTAAAAGGGAAACTTGCACATGCTGAGTCCCCTACTCAGCCCTGTAATAAGTGATGTAGCAATGACATGGCCATTCGTGTCCTGCCCGTCGTTAGGGGGCGGGGTCAGCAGACTGCTGGTTTCCAACACATATCACATGTACACATGTACCCACACAGATATGGGCTCACATATGTGCATACCACACACACACACACACACACACACACACACACACACACACACACAATAGTGGACTTCTAAGACAAATTTCTACTGGAAGACAGGGCTGTGCACAAGTCACAGCTGAGGGTAAAGAGGCTGGAACAAGGTGGAGCCAAGGAACAAATTATGGTTGGGAAAAGATGGTCAGGGGGTAGCAGAGTAGCATCTCCCATCAAGAGACTGAACCAGGCACATTACCGAGGGCTGTGGACAGCTGTGCTGCAGAGCATAGACGATTTGTCTATTAATGATCTGGGACAGAATGCCAGAGCCTGGGAGTGCAGACACAGTACCTGCTGGCAGACTGCATTCCATTCTGCTGGTGACAGAGAGTCATGGTGCTTGCTCTCTGTTTCCCCAATGTCTGTTTTATTTGCAACACTCATGCCATAAAGGAGTGTGTTACCTTGGAAGGAAATGGGTGTTGTTAGAATCCATTCATGAACTTGGCGGGCAGTTATTAAAACTGTCCCCTCTGAGTGCATCCTCAAGGTTCTTCTTTTGCTTCTGACTGTGATAGTCAGCTGGGGAAGAAAGTGGAGCCACAGCACTTGCCTTAGGGTTTTTATCGCTGTGAAGAGATACTATGACTGTGACAGCACTTACAAAGAAAACATTGAATTGGGGTGGCTTATGCATAGTTTCAGAGGTTCAGTCCATTATCATTGTGACTAGAAGTATGATGGCATCCATGCAGAGGAGATGATGAAACAGCTAAGAGTCCTTCATAGGCAACAGGAAGTTGACCCACACTTCCTCCAACAAGGCCACACCTCCCAATAGTCCCACTCCCTTTGGGAGCCATTTTCTCTCAAACCACCACAGCATTCAAGAACAAAGAAGCTTTAAGTAGGATGAATGCTGTCCAAAATGATTCTGGGTACCCAGTGGGACACAGGGCAGCCAAGTGCCCCCCTTTAAAATTTCACTGGATGTAGATGCTCTTTGGCTTTCGTTTTGTTTTGAGACAAGCCCTCTCCAAGGTGACCAGTCTCAAAGAGATCTTGAACTGGAGATCTTCCTGCCCCCTCCTAGGGTGATAAAATTACAGATGTGTGCTGCTACATCTGGAAGCCAATGCATTTTTTTAAACATAGAAATAAAGTCTGAAAATTAACTTGCATAAAATTAGATAATTAAAAATAATTGTAGGTGCCGTTTCTTTTCAATTAATTTGTTTTTGTCTAGGGCTGTACCGCTCTGAATATATCTGGTTTTGTCTGGTTGCAGAAGTTAAGCAGAGTCAGGCCTTGGATGGTACTTAGAGGGAAGATTAATTACGTATTTTTAAACAACAACAGGAAGGTAAAAGGGCCTTCGTTGGATTTGTCTCTGACTGGGTGTTTTGGTTTTCAGTACAATTTTTGTATGGCCTTTGCCTGTGCCTCACCTGTTTCCCATGCCCATGGTGTAGATGAGCCACACCTGTGGATGGAGAACTACCTATTGGCAGAGGGCATGGAGGGACCTCAGAAGCTTCTTGTCTCCTTCATTTCCTTCCCCTTTTATGTGTGCTTTCAAGCCTATCCTGCAGATGTGGCCTGGCTCCTTAGCAGAGTGTTTTCAGCTTCTGCCACCCATTGGTTGTACTGGAAACCCAAATGTTATGGCTGTAGTCACCACAGCTATGTGCTGGTTTGTTCCTGCTGTGGAGCCTACCCTACAGAGAGAAACCTGGCTACATGGGGGTCTTCTGGGTACGAATTTTTGGGAGATAAATCATGATGGTATTAGCACAGGCAAAGCTGATATATGGTCCAGTGCTAGTGTTCCCGACATTCCTGGTAGGCAGATTTCAGAAAATGGCCTCACCCCATATGTAGCTCTTGGAGCCCCTCGAGGGCCCCTTAATTTTCCTCTTGTGCAGGCAGGAAAGGGGTCAAGGATGGAGTTGGGGTCTTGGGATCTTCATGGATTCTGTGAGTTCTCACCAATCAATCAGGCAAGTGACTCAGAGCCTCCGTGTAAGGCGCGCCCAAACGGAATGACCTCATCTAGTGGGGCCAGAACTGAATACTACAGACGCAAACCACTGAAGAGAAGGCCGCAAAATCACAGTTCTGTACTCTGGCTGGAAAGAAACACCATCTCTGGAAGGACTTGATAGCAGATGAACGTGGTGTTCATTGACCAGCCTCCACTTAAGCCAAGCTTGAGACTATATGACCATGTGCCAGACAGTCAGGATTGCTGAGAGGTACTTCAGACAAGAACTGGATGAATGAATGTGAGGAAGACCCATAGGACAGAGTCTGGAGAAGGCCTGCTGGGATCTATAGGACACAGAGAGTGCATATTCACTATAAGTAAAACTTTCTGAGGTCACTGGGGGTGTTGTTAAATGTTGGCTCCTCCTGCTTCTGATACATTTCAGGTAGACTGGGACCAACTTCTTTCAACCTGACCAGAGGCCCCAGAGATGTGCCTCACTGAGATTTCTTTAGAGCCCCAGTCACCATCAGGAGATAGCTTGAAAACTGGGAATTCCTACTCAGTCTAGGGGTTCTGTCTGTCTTCATTTAGCCCTTCTTGTGAAATTTAAAAATATTCATTACAATTCGTTTTACTTTTAGTTTAATTTGAAAGAACTGTTTTAAATGGTTAGTCATTTGGTTACTGAGCCTTTGGGTTACCCTTTAAACTTTTCACTTGAAGCCAGCACCAGACTTCCATGAGTATGTTATACTGCAGCTACTTGTGGTGTCAAAGAATGGCCAGGAGCATTTCTACTTACACCTACTTTAGATGCAGGAGGGATTTTGGCTAGTCAAGGACAGAGGTGCTCATGAGTAATATTTTTGCACTGAGAAGCAGTGAGCGTCCTGCTTCACACCCCTAGCTTTAGCAATCTGGAAGCCATCATGGTGAGGGTGAATTGTATAAGATGTTCTTCTGATTCTAGGCTATTATAATTAGAAGCTTGTGTTCTGGCGGCCACATGAGCTAGGCTTGGTTGCCTCTCCCCAGCACTCCAGTTAAGGAGATAGTAAAAGTGATAATGAAACACAAAGAGGAAATTTTATTCAATGTAGCAGTTTCACAGCATCAGGTCTGATGTGGGGTCCTTGATTACTTGTAGTTGAGTTATGTGCAGAGTGAAAGGTGAGGGTCCAGTTTCCTTTTTCTTTCTTTCTTTCTTTCTTTTCTTTTCTTTTTCTTCTTCTTTTTTTTTTTTTTTGCATGTTAAATACACGTTTCCTAGCACCATTTGCTTAAAATGCTCTTTCTCTGTGTATTTTTGCCATCTTTGTTAAAAAAAAACAAAACAGAACAAAACAAACAAACAAACAAACAAACAAACAAAAAAGGTGGCTGTGCACATATGGACTAATATCCGGGTCCTCAGTTTTATTCAGTTGTGGTGATACCTCCTGCCATATTCTTTTTGTTCAGCTTGCTTTCACCATCCTATTTATTATTACTATTATTTTATCATGTGCTGCCTTTTAAATTGTCAGATTTTCTTATACATCTATGAAGAGGAGGACTGGCTATGGAGTTTTGAATGAGAGTGCACTGAACATGTACATTGCTTTTTGGTAAATGGCCATTTCCACACAGTTAATTATCCCAGTGCAGGAGCAGGGGATGTCTTTCAATCTAGTATCTTCTCCAGTTTCTTCCTTTAGTGATAGTGACTAATCTCTGTGCCTTTATCCCTGAAGGGAACACTCCTTGAGGGACTGATGTAAAAGTTACACACTCCTTGAAGGACCAGTGTATCCATATGCAGAGGTAAACAGGTGAACCAAAGTGAAGGGCAAACACAGAATGAAGGCAGAGGTGCCAGACTCCTACTCTTTGGTTTTTATACCTTGTGGGCCCAAAGAGAGTCAATACGTTTTTTGCAAAAGTAGCATCTAAGTACCATTCTTTTTTCTCCTAAAATGGGTTGGGTACTTTTGTGAGTGTTGCTATGTGATAATCCCAGCACACTGCTTTCTAGGAGCCCCTAACCATGGGGGCTGAGCAGCCATAAAACCTGTGACCATTCAAAGCTTTAAAATCTGAGCCTTGTGAGAAAATAACCAAGGAAGGTGTGGTTGGATAAGAACAGCCCCATAAGATCATATATTTGAGTGCTTAGTCATCGGGGTTAGAACTAAGCAAAAGGATCAGAAGGATTAGAAGGTGTCGCCTTGTTGAAGGAAGTGTCACTGGGAGTGAGTGGGCTTGCCA